GACCCATAAGTTTATGCAATGTAATCTATAAGATTATTGCAAAATCTTTAGCTAATAGACTGAAAATGCATCTACCTGATTACATTCATCCCTCTCAACAAGCTTTTATTGGAGGTAGACCATTAGTAACAACATTGTTGTAGCTCAAGAGATAGCCCATTCCTTCTCGCTTACCTCTTACAAAAGCCATGATTTTATGTTAAAAATTGATTTAGCTAAGGCTGTTCATAGAATAGAATGGCATTGCATTATTTCAGCTCTCGCACGCAAGGGGCTTAATGGTCATTTCATAAAACTAATTCATGCTTGCATCTCTTCGCCAATGTTCTCTGTCATCATTAACGGCCAATCATATGCTAAATTTAATGGCTCCAGAGGCATCAGACAGGGTTGTCCTTTGTCGCCATATCTTTTTGTCCTTGCATTGAATGAACTATCTTTACGGCTACAGGAAGCTTTGCAAGCCAATCATCTCACGGGCATTTTACTTGGACCAAATTGCCCCCTATTCACTCTCTCATGTTTGCAGATGACCTTATCGTTTGCGGGAAAGCTAACATGTGTGAAGCTCAAACTATCTCTAATGTTTTACGTCAATTATGTGAAAACACAGGTCAGATTCCTAATTGGAGTAAGTCTGGTATCCTTTTTAGTAAGAATGTTCCTTTGCCGCATAGAGAGAATATTAAAAGAATCTTTCCAGCCCCAAATATTGACAATTCCTTTGTACATCTAGGACACCCTCTTCTTTTGCCATCTAAAGACAGATCAACGGCTTATGGTTTTATTTATGATAAATTCAAGTCAAAACTCTCCAGCTACAAAGCTAATCGGTTATCCCATGCAGCGAGACTTACCCTCATTAAATCAGTTTTCGCCTCAACTCTTGTCTACTACATGTCAAATATTCTCTTCTCAAAAAAATTCCTAAGTAAGCTAACAACTATCATTAGGAATTTCTGGTGGACATGTGTTCAAGAAGACCAAACTACTAAAAGCCTTTGTCTTAGAGCATGGGCTGACATATGCATGGATAAAAAAGCAGGTGGTCTAGGCATACAAAATCTGCAGGCAATCAATCAAGGACTCATACTCTCTGCGGCTTGGAGGCTTGCAAAGGAACCACACACCCAACTAGCTCAGATCCTCAAGGCTAAATACCATCATGACACATCTATATGGCGGGCAAAACACAACATACCAAAATCTGCTTTCTAGACATCAATATTGAAGGTAAGACCACTTCTCATTTCAGCCACTGCTTATCAGGTGGTAGATGGAAATAGTTCGCTATGGAGCACTCCTTGGGTTCAGGGTTGGGAAGCCATTTATGACAATCTAATCATTCAGCAACAGGCCTTTAGTTATCCTGCTCAAATAAAAGATCTTTGGCTTCCTGGGCGAAAAGCTTGGAACATAAACTTGATCAATTCTCTATTTTCTCCTGAAGTAGCTAACTCTATACTTCAAACTCCCATAACTGATGCTACTGGTCAGGACATTCTAGTATGGAAGCTAACCCCCTACAGGTCTATTCTCTCCAAAGAGTGCATACAAACATTGTTTCAATAACCTCCAACTTCCACCAAGAGAGAGACCGAAGATAGTTCCTCCACATATTGCAGCTTTGCTCAATCAGGTGTGGAATGAGAAACAAATGGCGCCACGTGTTAAAACTTTCGCTTGGAGACTTCTTCGAAATGCACTCCCCACAGGTAATAGAGCAGGCAAGTACTGTAAGCGTATTAGTGAAACATGTTCTAGGTGTGGTAAGCTTGAGGATGAAATGCATCTCTTCTTTCTTTGCCCTTTTTCAAAGGCAGCCTGGTATAACTTTCCTTGGTTTCTTAAAACTGAAATTTTTGCCCAAAACAATACTTCAATTCCTCACATGATACAGGGCCTGCTTGATTCTCATCATCCTCACATGAGTGTTGAATCACTATACACTTTTCTGTGGTGTATTTGGAAAGCTCGAAATGACTTTGTTTTCTGTAGGAAAGCTTGCAACCCTTCCCAGGTTTACGCAGTGGCAATGGCAATTATACAGGGAGCTAAACTTGAGTTTGAAGCCTCTTTCCAGGTTTGCAGTGAAGGTGATTTGAACGATCCTCATGTGGATGCAAAACATGGTTTATGACTGCAGGATCATGTTCCCCAGCAGATGACTCCATCTCCTGGAAGCACCATCACAAATATCACCAGCTTTTCAGGGCCTGTTATCTTTTCAGATGCTTCTTGGACTATAGGTTCTGATGGCCAGCCGACACCTGCAGGACTAGGTATATTCATTCGGATGGGGAACGAAGGAAGATGCTCTCAGCTTTGTATCTCGGTTGTCTCCCCACCAGTGACTTCAGTCATTTTGGCTGAAGCTTTCAGTTTGATGCTTGCAACTCAAATTGCAGGAATCCTTCAGCTTCAGCAAGCCACCTTCTTGACGGACAGTGCTACATTGGCAAAGGCTGTGGCAGCTCAAAGCTCGATTCTTGCACCAGGACACTGGACCATCAGGCGACAGCTAGCTTACATAGCAGCTTCTTCAGCCTTTAACTCATCAAGGATCTATCATATTCCCAGGAACTACAATTTTCGAGCTCATCATCAGGCAAAACTTGCACTAAAGCTTAAGAGTAGAACATTTAGCTTCAGGTGCTTAGCTTCAGGCAATGATACATGCCTCAACGCTCATGTAATGGTGCAATCTCCAGTGTTGCAATGCACATTTGTACATGTACGTTGTTGCTAGATCAATAAAATATTATGTGTTCAAAAAAAAATCATCACGAACGAGCTCTAGGTAACGGAAAAGAAAAACCAGCCGCAGAGCAGATGCCCACATGAGCATATCGACGTGGAAAACGACGGCTCATTTCAGATCACAAATGCTTTTCTAAGATCCACGTGACCGCCGCTTACGGCCGCACAGTCCTATCCAGAGAGCAGTGTACCCATCGATACAGGTCAGATGTTTGTCCCGTTCCCCATCAGCGACCCATCTCACTTTGGCCCCTCATGATCAGGACGACGTACGCCGCTGATCAGAGTCACCGATTGCTCTTCTCAAGACGTCAGAGCATGCAGAGCCCTCCGGATGAAATATCTTGGATCGGTTACGAAATTGATACACAGAATGCAACCTGCAAAGGAGCAATTCGACCATATATATCTTCTTCCTTTTTGAACAGAGAAATTTCATTTATTTAGCAACAGCGCACATGTACAATTGTGCAGTTAAGCACAGTAGAAAGAGCAGCTACAACTGCACTGAGGCAGGCTTCATTGCCTACTCCTAAGAATCTGAACCTGTAAGGTGTATTCTGAATTTTGGCATGATGATGAGCACGAAAATTATAGCCTCTGTTAATGTGGTAGACCCTTGTGGTATCAAACGCCGAGGAACCAATGACCTGGATCTGAGATGAGGTCTTGAGAAACTACAGCTGACGCCAGGCCCTGTTTGGATCATGGGGTTAGAGTTAGTTTGGGTTAGTTGGGGGCTCAAATAACCCAAAAGTATCCAAACAGGGAGGGTTAGAGTGGGTTAGTTCCATCTAACCCAACTATCCCGGTGGAGAGATGCTTATTTGGGTTAGAGTGAGTTAGAAAATAACTCTAACTCTAACTGTGTTAGAGTATCCAGACAGGGCCAATGTCGCACAGTCTGTTAGGAAGTGGCACGTTGAAGATGGAGTAGCTGCGCAATCTGGGAAGCAAGCATCATGCTGAATGCTTCAGCGTGGATGGCCGACGCCAGTGGTGCCCAAGTGGCTGATATGCACAGCTGAGAGCAGCTCAGTGCTTCTATCACCTGCAAACTGGATAAAAACTCCTATTCCTGCAATTGCCGGTCCCCCTTCAGGTCCTGGAGTCCAGGAAGCATCTAAAAATACTATGGGACCTGTAATGTTGGTCTGATCCATGATTGTTTTTCCTGGAGATGGCAGCACACTGTGAGTAAGAACAGCTCCTGTTTGCCCAGATGCGTCCACAGCCTTATTCTCCTTCAAATTTGGCCAGCTAGTTGCGCTGCTAGCCTGAGACGTGCGTCGTTCTGAAATTTCCAAATGCACCATAGAAAAGTATAAAGTGATGTTATATTTATTTGCAGGTGATTGTAAGTAATCAAAGCTTTGATCATATTTGGAACTGGGTGATTGTGATGGGCTAATAATTCAGTTTTGATGAGCCATGGAAAACTATACCAAGCTGCTTTAGCAAAAGGACATAAAAAGAAGAGATGCATTTCATCTTCAAGATTTCCACAGGTAGAACAACTTTCACTGATATACTTAGAATACTTACCTGCCCTTTTACCTGTAGCTAGTGCGTTGCGAAGAAACCTCCGTGCAAAAGTCTGATATCATTGCAGCTATTCGACTGTAGGAGGCCCGATCTCCTTATCTTAAGAGGGATAGTGCAGGACGGCCATGAGTACACCACACACACTCAGGTCCAACAAGGTTCAGTTATTTGGCAAAATATATGACCATTTCAAGATGCAGAGAGCTATCATGCCATTAATTCCAGTCCCTTCTGGTGACGGTTTTTGACGAACAACGTGGACAATGACATTGCACTGGCCAACTAGATGTGGTTACCAGACAAGATTTCATTATCCAAAACCAAAAGTAATGAAGTAGAGAGAGAGACAAGGTTTGTGAGTGATGAATCAAGAGATTCAACGGTGACAAGGTTGTCGTGTGCCTAAAAAAATGTTTTTTCAGAGACCGGTGGCATGCTGCTGTGGTGGAACCAAAGATAACTATGCAAGTATATGTAGGGGGCTGCTGAGTCATAAAGCTGATCGAAGAGCACATGCTCCGTCCTTGCTCTCATGGTTGGGGCTTACTCAGAGACGAACAAGACAAGGATAAAAAGGTTTCTTGCAAGCAACTTTTTGATTCATAAGAAGGCATTGCTCTACCTGTCTACCACTCCACTCCATTCCCCACCGGCGAGAGAGATTGAGAGAGAGAGATTGAGATAGAGCTGAAGACATGGAGGGCAAGCGCACCGACCAGGTATGTTCTGGTACCCAGACCCCCCTCCAGTTCCTCAAGATTTGAACCAAGATTTTTAGTTTAGATAGAAGCTAGAACAGACAGAGTGCAAAAAACTCGAGTTATTCAGCCATATATGAACTTTCTAATTCCTGTTTCTTGTGGTCACATGAAAGAAAATCTGCTGAGATTCTCATACAGATGCTAAAACTAGCTGATTTCTGCTGTCTCTGGATCGATTGCGCAATCAGATACATGTTCTAGATACTACTCCCTCCGTCCCATAATATAAGAGCGTTTTTTAGACTAGTGTAGTGTCAAAAACACTCTTTTATTATGGGAGAGAGGGAGTAGGAATTAAGCCATCCGGCACTATTTCAAAGTAAAAAAGAACAAGAAATTTCAATTTATCCTCACCTGAATCCCTGTCCTGTTCACCTGCTCCAAAGGCAAAGCTCAGCACGATGCACCCAAAGGTTATCTGCTGCAAGCTCTACATCTCTGAAAGCCAAAATGCGGCTGTTGTCGATGCCATCAGCCGCATAGGCCAGAAAGACCCTGAGGTGGTTTTGCTCAGCAAGTTCGAGGACGAGTACTACAACCGTGTCCGCTATACGCTCGCCTCCTACATCACCAGCGAAAGCTCAACCGGTGAAGCTGTATTTAGCCCAATCAGGAAGGTGTTGCTGGCGATGATCGAGGCTGCATTTTCAGCCATAAATCTCGAAGTACACAGTGGAACTCATCCAAGGATTGGCGTCGTCGATGACATGTCGTTCCACCCCTTGAGCCAAGAGGCCACAATGGAGGATGCTGCTCAGCTGGCTAAGTTGGTCGCCTCTGACATTGGCAATGGCTTGCAAGGTAGTGTTCTTCAGCAAGATTTTCTTCTGTCAGTAACAAATGAGATGATACACTGTATAAATATTCTGATCCTCTTCCTCCCTGTTCTGTATGCAGTTCCGGTGTTCCTCTACGCGGCAGCACACCCCACCAGCAAGAGCGTCAGTGCAATACGGCGTGAGCTCGGCTACTACCGGCCAAATCACAAGGGTGTCCAATGGGCAGGCCAGGTGCTCCCTGATACTCTACCAGTGAAGCCAGATGTGGGCCCAGCTCATGTTTCTAGTAAAAGAGGTGCCACCATGGTCGGAGCAAAACCTTTCGTCGAGAGCTACAATGTGCCGATATTCTGCAAGGATGTCCCGACCGTGAGAAGGATCACCCGGAGGGTCACGGGACGGAGCGGAGGGTTCCCGACGGTGCAGGCGCTTGCTCTCTTCCATGGCGACAATTGCACGGAGATCGCGTGCTTGCTGGATCCAGACCATGTTGGTGCCGATCAGGTTCAGTGGCTGGTGGAGCAGATTGCAGGAGAGCAAGGGCTTGAGGTTGACAAGGGCTATTTCACCGACCTGTCCAAGGACATGATGCTGGAAAGGTACTTCAAGATGGTTTCTGCAGCTGATTGACATGTGCACAATTTCCTTCTTGCAATCATGCATGTCTGCACTTCCGTGTATGCTGCTGTTTAAACTGTGGCGCCAATTGGGCCCTGGACCGACCAATTCCAACATTTTGTATATATACTTAGTTATATCTGCACTGAAGATGGTCTCTGGAAACTTCACCGGAGTAGCTGCCACATAACAGGTCTGATCACTGAATGAGAATGCTGTTTTCAGTGATTAAAATCTAGCACCTTGTCAAGGCAGCATTCATTAATGCCAACTGACAAAATGTTTTTTTTTGGGTGGGAGGGGGAGGGGGGACACATTTCTGCGTAGAAGTTTGGAACAGAAAAAATTAGAGGGTAAAGATAAATATATAAATATATGTGAAAATTACAAATAATTTGAATTATGCTGCCTCAGTTTGTACCATGTGCTACAACAGATTAGAATACCGCTATAGAAGGGGGCACTTCGAAGCTCAAATAGCCGTCAGGTATCTTTGTGTGAGTCAGCTTGCAGGAGATTTACAAATCCTTTTGCAGATTCCTTAAGATTGAAGGAAGACAAGGAAAACATTAAAAAGATGATGAGAGAAAAATTATGGACTATGAAGTGAAGTAGGCAAATGAACGAGTACTAGATTCAGCATTTGAACAGTAGCATAATCTATAATTCGAAATGAAACTACACGCATAGAGTTAGGTACCATATGGTAGGAAAGACCGGAGGCGGAGGAAAGAACCGTCGTGCTTTAGATAGACCTTTTGCAGCAGCATGCACCTGTCAAATGGGTAATTGAGTATCCTCACATGATCATCTAAAAAATCCACATAATGAGCAAATGTGGCAGTTCTACTAGAAATATCAACAGCAACGGCAACACTAGATTCAACAAATACCGCACTAAAAATCTAAGGATGAAACGGAAGGGCATATCAAGAACACCAAAGTTTTTGAAAGATAGACCGTGTAAGCAGATTCAATATCCTTGTCCGGAAAAACATGTAATTCAATATACTGAGAAAAGAATAATAATAATATGGGCGATCAATTGTTATAGTTGCTAATCAATGTTCAATGTTGAAATAACAGGCATAAAAAATACTTGGACTATAAGCCAGCAAGCAGCACTCTTGGTCTCTTGCATTGGTCAATGCTCATGTACATTCTTCCTAAGATATAAATTTCAGGTTAAATTCAAGACCATGTTAGCACGGATTTCAGCGGTCAGTATGCTTGCAACTAACAAGCAGGATGATTTTCAACCACATACTCCAAAGTAGCTAACTGATTTTGCGGATTGTGATCTGGGAGGAAGCCCATCAGATCTCGAACCCAACAGGGCATTTGGATCCAGGCATCTGACGAACTGGGCAGAATTTGGATACAAGAAGAGACCGCTCGTAATAAATCTTGGTCCAAACGTGAGATTTATAGCACGGGGAAAAACAGCGATTTGATTTACCAGCAGATCGGAACCGCGCGCGGCATGGGGAGGCGCTTTTCTTCCCCTGTTCGGCATCGCCGGTAAACCTAGGAAACGGCGGTCGCCAAATCAGTAAAGAATGAACAGCGAGACGGTGTATGGCATCAGATTGAAACGGGGTTCGGGTTCAAACTAAGACCTCTCCCAATGCAAAGGTGCTTACATGAGGTGCTAAGTGAATTAAATACCTTAGCAATTCAAGTCCCCAATGCATAGGTACTTAACTTGTTATTGCTAAGCACACTTTATTTAATGAGTTAGCACCTAAAGTCTTTCATGCATTGGTCAAATTGTTTCATTTAAGTGGTTTGCCTAGGTTCTCGCGCTTGGCATTGGTTCTTCCTGGGGTCAGCAAATTACTCTCTTCCCTTCTTAAATGTTGTGCCATGTCACTTTTTTGCTTATGTGGCATGCTTAGCACCTGTCCACGGTGGAGCACTGGAAGGGCCTAAGCTTGAAGAGACAGAGGCTCCTCTCGCTCCTCGGCACACGCCCGGCTGTCTTTTTTTATGGGAAGTGTCAGGTGAGCCAAACTGGTTCCACTGCTGGTGGAGGTGGAGTCGGAGTGCGCGCCGCTGGAGGTCTCAGCGGCATGCCCAATGGCCGATGGCGTCCGTGCGCCGAACGGCGGCGAGGAGCACGCGAAGGCAGACAGAGACACAGAGTGGGCACCGCGAAAGGAAAGGCCCCAAAACGTGCGGTGGGCCGGCGGCCGGCCCACATAGCGTTTCTGCACCTCCGGAAACGTGGTGGGAATCCCTCAAAAAAAAACAAAAGGAAACGTAGTGGGACGGATGGTTTTTTGGTTCCGTTTCATTTATTTCCGAAAATATCGCTATATTTAATGTAAACATATTTTAAAAAGTTTACAAATTTTGAGGTATCCATAGATTCATAAATATTTATTTTTTAAATAAGTTTTTTCATGAATTTTTAAAAGTAAAAGAAGAAAAAAAAGATAATGAAAAACGTAAAGTAGAAACCCCCCAAAACCAGAGAAGAATGCCAAGAAAACATAATAAAATTGTTCTTCAGCTCGCGTCTAGTGGTCCGGCGAAGAATTGGAGATTCTACACAAGAGGTTGCGTCATTTTTTATGTTTTTAGAAAGGCCACACTTTATCATTCAAAGTTTACAAAAATTGGAATGCATAATGGGTCATGGGGCTGGCCCAGCCAAATATGGCGTCCTTGACCTAATGAATGAGAGAATTTTACTAGTAAATGTGCTTCATAGCTCTTCCCTCAAAAATTCAAAATGGAATATGCAATTGTGCTATGTGCTATTTGTTTGATCTCAGCTATGATTTGACCATAGTTTCCACAGCTCCCCTTGAGAATGCCATCCGAAACTTGCTTCAAGTCTATAGCAATTAATATATTGTCGAGGAGAAGATCACCTGCAAGGCACATACCTTCCCTACATGCAGTCGCTTCTAGGGATGCGTCCCCAGTAGGATGCGCCACGCCGCTTGGCTAGTAAAACTACAGACAAATTATTTGTACCAATTAAACCAAACATCATTTATGCATGATTCATCAGCTTACTCAAAGCATGAAGCTGGTTTCTGTCCGCAGCGCCCCCCTAAACTCTTCAATCAAGTCTGTAGTAAGAAAGAGTAACTGGAGGAAATATGCCCTAGAGGCAATAATAAAGTTGTTATTTTATATTTTCTTATATAATGATAAATGTTTATTATTCATGGTAGAATTATATTAACCAAAAACTTAATACATGTACGAGACAAAACACCGTGTCCCTAGTATGCCTTTACTTGACTAGCTCGTTGATCAAAGATGGTTAAGTTTCCTAGCCATGGACATGTGTTGTCATTTGATGAACGGGTTCACATCATTAGGAGAATGATGTGATGGATAAGACCCATCCGTTAGCTTAGCATAATAATCATTCAGTTTTATCGCTACTGCTTTCTTCATGTTTTATATATATATATATATATATACTATGAGATTATGCAACTTCCGGACACCAGAGGAATGCCTTGTGTGCTATCAAACGTCACAAACGTAACTGGGTGATTATAAAGATGCTCTACAGGTATCTCCGAAGGTGTTTGTTGGGTTGGCATAGATCGAGATTAGGATTTGTCACTCCAAGTATCAGAGAGGTATCTCTGGGCCCTCTCGGTAATGCACATCATATGAAGCCTTGCAAGCAATGTGACTAATGAGTTAGTTGCGGGATGATGTATTACGGAACGAGTAAAGAGACTTGCCGGTAAAGAGATTGAACTAGGTATGAAGATACCGACGATCATATCTCGGGAAATTAACATACCGATGACAAAGGAAATAACGTATGTTGACATTGCGGTTCGACCGATAAAGATCTTTGTAGAATATGTGGAAACCAATATGAGCATCCACACTACAAAAAAGACACATCTTGACATTTTGGGCCGAACGAAAAAAAATTATGTCATACTTATGACACTTCTATGACGATAATTGTGATAAAACCCGGTATCATCATAGATGTGGTGGGCTCCTACTTCTATGACAAAAAATCATAACAGAAAAATGGCTTTTCGTCCTGGGCGGGCCGGAGACGCAGCTGCATGACATTCTTTGGGTCGTCCATGACGGAAAAAACCATGGTAGAAGCGAGGGCGAGGAAAATTTCGGGAAGTTCCCGATTACGGTGGGTGGTCGGGGGCCGAGCGATGCATGTTTCTCTCGTACACGTACGCGCGTGTGTGCGAAGCATTGGGATCTAACTGAACCCGAGCGAGGCGTTGGGCTCTAACTAAACCCGAGCGATTGCACTAGCTACGTTACTGAACCGAGTGATCGATTCCTTGTTGTTAACTGAACCCAAGTGATTCCTTCGCTACTGCTGCTAACTGAAGCCGATCGAATCCTGTTGCCT